TTCGGGGCTATATGCTAGTAACAATAATAAATAACGGGATTCAAGTATAAATATATTAAGAATACTGAACAATAACAAAAACTTTTTAGTTGGAGGGGAGCTTCACACTGCACGTCAAATGTTTGTTTGTTTGTTTGTGATTGACCACAAAGCTACACAATAGACTATCAATGCTTTCCTCACCACAAGTATTGAAATCCTGTTTTTAGCGTTAAAAGGTTTCACACTTACTGTTGAGACATTGTTGGCTCACACTTCAAGTGTTATGGAACGACTAACAATACTCGTTAGACTAACAAGGAAGAATAACTATATAAGAATACTTCAACTACAACACAAACAAATTTTCTTTGGAACCGAGTAGTCACACTACCCTTCAAGGGTTAGTAAAAAACAAGTACAACTATCTTAAGCAAACTTCATCTTCAACATAGAAAAATGTCAATTAATTATATTTGTCACAAGATATAGTATTAGGCAGATTATCTTGTTTAACACTACATTCTTTATTTAGTATCAGCCGGCCTGATGAGCTCTGGGTTGAGTGAAACGCGTCTTCGGCAATGGATATAGAGAACATAGTGTGGTTGAAATATTATTGTTATGCACCCTTCTAATTCTTGAAAATTCATAAGGAACTACATAAAGAATGTGGTGTTAAAAATATAATCGGCTTGATATTGACTGTCTTAACACAAGTATAATTAATTATAATAGTGATTCGCCAGCTTTAAAAAAGCACTCAGATCATAACAACAGACACATTTTAGTTGGAATCGAGCGTCACACTGATTTTAAAGTATTATGGAACGAATTATGTATAACTATAGAATATAATATTTTAAAAGAATAAGCAAAGATTTGGCAGACAAACAAAATGTCTTTTTTTATACACTTCTTACTGGAAATTCGCAATGGACTAATTAAGAGGGATGCAATCTCTAGATTAGGCTTCATCAGACGCAGGGCTTACACTTCATATTAATTCATATTTCAAAAGTGACGGATGCAAATAGTGCGAGGCTTTGTGTGTTGCATGCCAAGCCGACCTGATGAGTTCTGGTATTGTGAGAAAGGCCTCATCGGCAACAAAGTGCGGCACATTCTGTATGCAGTTGGAAAAATTACATAGGTCAAGTAAGTAAAGATTTACTAAACAGTATTATCAATCTTATTGCCATGTAACCGCTAAGCTATAAATCCCCTTTTGCCAGCACAGGCGTTTCATATCATATGAATCAGTTAATTATGTTATTTGTTTTGACAAAACTCGTTATCACGCTATTAATACAAACAAACCTGCCAGTGGCACAGCGATATGTCTGTGGAGTTACAACGCTAGAAACCGTGTTTCGATACCCGTGGTGGGCAGAGCACAGATAGTCCAATGTGTAGCTTTTTTCTTAACTTCAAACAAACAACCAACAAAACAAAATACAAACAACCTTGGTGGGAGCTCGCGCTACACGTAAAATGATTATTCGTCAAACAAAACCCATTACTATGCAGTTGGTACAACTTTAACAACAGTATCAGATGAATATGTTAATTTTTATGACCATGTTTCATATAACCTAAATAATATTTTTGGTACTGATGCACATAAAATACTTTGTAAATAGTAACAACTGGTCTGAAATACAGCTTAACTGACAGACAAAAAAGGAGAAAAGAGAAAAAAGTAATTTTCTAAAGCATTCCGTATTAATAGAATATACATATTTATTATATATTATGCACATACATATCTTTCAAGTATTATATTTTACTATATTAGTATATCGTATTTTGAAGTATGTTTTGTAATGGAGATGGCTCTCTTATCGAATTTTTTGAAAAGTCAAGAGCTCATTTTTCTAGAAAAAGAAAACACCCAAAATGTTAAACATAATTTAAACAAAGTGTTGGGATTGGCATTCTTTTTCGGGGGGAGGGTGACATTTTTGTAGGCATATCACTGACTATGGCCCTGCTCATCACATTGTGGCTAGAGGTAACTAAAAACGCTTCATATTTTTTACAAAGTGTGCTAACAAGTCGATAAGTCATGTTATTATATTAAGTGTTGAATAAACTGGTATCTTGTAAAGTTAAAAATACAAACTTTCTTAAAGTGTTCCTTTTTCAATATACTATTGATTAACAACATCAAATACAGACGTTTGTTATCACAACCATATATCTATAGGGCAACATAAGGCATATGGCTACATTTATAATCAAACACACACATGCTCCTTCTGGTATCTGATAAACAACCCAAAACCTCTATGTTTTAACAACAGATCGCTTTGAAGTGAAACAAAAAGGCCGTTTTCTCAGTTTATAAATATCGTTTTATACGCCTGTCTCTGAGTGTAGTTAAAATCATCGCTGCCGTTTATCTCATGTACAGACAGCGCGTAGTTTCAACAGTAATCGGAAAATTTAGTAATGAACGCTTAAGCTGCTGAGAAATGGTCTGTCTCTTAGCAACAGCTCACGTGTGTGTGTGTGTGTGATGACCTCGGAACCACAGTGATTTTCAAACTGCCACCTGGCGAGCGACCTAAAATCACGGAGAAAATACACAAAGAAAACTTTCGCTGTAACACCAGGCAATGTGTGAGTATATTAACCGAAGCTCAACCAGCAACCCTTAACTTCGAACGCACAAACAAGGAAAATATCAGTAAACCTTTATGTACTGTTACTCACTTTAAAGAAAATTATATATGTGTGTGTGTGTATACATATATAAACTAGTTGAGAATTCTATACGTATAAACCAAACAATAGTAAGTTAGGTTGGTCAATATGTACGCAAAAATGAAAGAACAAATTACTAAAAACTCTACACATACTGAAGCATATAATAAAGGATACACACATGTAGACTGGTAGCTACTAAAACTTGCTCCTATGTTTGAAACAAATCACTTTTACGATCGTTTGCCAGATTTAGCTTATAAATTAAAGACGTTGGATGAATTTCTCTAAAGTAAGACTTCTTGTTTAATTACATAGTAAAGTTTCTTTGTTTCAGAACCGTCTACACAAGGGCTGTCAGAGCATGGCCGTCCATAATATCGCAGTGATAGACTAGAGGGAAGGAAGCTAGTCAACATCACTTCCCGGCAGCTCTTCAATTTACTCTTCTTTGACCGAATTTCTTATAGTGCATCCAGCCCTGACTCGGGCTCACGTCCACACACGTTAACCACCACGCTGCGCCCCGCCCTGCATAGTAAGATCTGTAGCACATATGCACCCAAACAGCTAAAAAAGCTTGCATCTGAAGGTGCAAACAAAAAACAGTGGCCCAAGATTAAGTGTTTTGTACGATTTCAAAACTTTCACAGCTTATTTGCGCCAAGTGATCCACGATATTATCCCATTTCCGTTAAACTAAATTTCATGTTAATAGTTTTCTAACTTTTCCACGTCTACTGAGACTAGATTATGTTTAAATCAATCTTTCACAATACACATCTAGGGTCTTGATAGTCATTCTCAAACGTCAGATAAGACAGAAGGAAACAGGACGTATGAGGGGCCTGAAGGGAAAACGGGAGAAAAGTTCATGAAAGTAAAAAAAGAGAGAGAGATAGAGAGAGTAAAAATCAAGGCAATAATTTGTGACAGATCGTGGTGTGCCCCTTTTACATGGACAAACTAAACCAAAACAAAGAAAAAAACTCGTGAAGTATGACACCAAACGTGAAAAAATAACGAAAAAGTCAGCTGGTAAAAATGGGGAAAGCTCAGGAATATTAGAGTCGATAAATGGTAGACGGGAACAGTTGTCAAAAATATAGTCACGAAAGTGGTCATAAAACGACTGCAGGAAAGTTCCGCTAGAAACCTGGCTTCAAGGAAATCCTAAATAACCATGGTCCGGCAGTGACAAAGATTGAGTTTAGATGGGAAGGTAGATGTTTTGGAACTGCATTAACGTGCTTGAATTGACCAATAAGGAGTAGTAGTGAAACTCTTCCAAATCGTTTAATATATATTCATAGAGGGCTAATATAATGTATGTACAAAGTAGTTTTTCAAGGAGTCTCACAGTTATATATTTTCACGCCTCAACCCTATAGAGCCGTTCAGCCATTTTGACAGAAATGTTCACATAATTTTACTGAGTGTGATGTTAATCTGTACGATCTTGTGCACATTAGAGAGACTTCAATCATCTTTTGTACTTTAAAGAGCTCTTGTAACTATTTCCATCTCAAGATGAAATTTCATGTCCAAAACAATATGTCATAAATTCAAACTATGCTACATCTTCTTGTGCCTGGCAAGCTGAGCTGCACTTCTTTGTACCAGGCAAAGTAGGCTACACCCTCTACTCTTCTTTTCAGTCTGTATAATAGGCGTGTCTGTAGATAATAGGATATAAGTACAAGTTTAAATTTTAAGTCTTATCGTACATTTTTCGAAAATTTTCCCGCCATTCGACTTGTCTAATTCCATAGATAAAACGGTGCTCTCATCGTAGTATGCGATTCTTGTTTCTTTATCGCATCACGAAGTTTGCTTAATCATAATAGCTTTAGACCAGAGCTAGACGTCGATAATAACTTATCGACGTCTAGCTCTGGTCTAAAATTCTTTATCTTGTCATGTACTATAACAAGTTTTCAGACTTTCTAATATCATAATTATTCTTTTATCTCGTGTTTCTAAGAAACTAGGCATAAAAAATACACTCTGATACATGTAATCACCAAATTACTGGGTTTACAATTGTCTTAACTATATAAAGTACTTTTAATATTCAATCCCTTTTCTAATTAGCTGTCAAAACAGTCAAGGACAACTTTTCCGACGTGATTATTTTGTTTAAAAATCTACCTTTAGAATAAACATTGCTATAAAAACAAATACACATACAGTTAACAATGCACACAGCTCCATTATTCGTATCTAAACAATCTTAATGTGAGAGCTCCAGAGAATAAACTTGTAAGTTAAATGCTAAAACAATCAACCCATGTAAAACGTTAAAAGGATACATTTCTTGGAAGAAGTCGATATGAGGCGGCTGTAGGATGTCGAGCGCCGACATAACCTGAAAGAAAGTTGAATCAGAATGATTAGAATAAAAAAACTACTGGTAACAAACCAGATCTCATTACACAATTTGGTTCGTCTTCTTGATCATGACCATTCAAAAATATAAAGTCGAAAGGTTACAGTAACTTTACAGTTCAAGTAGTTTATGTGTAAAGAAACAACAAAAACGCGAGCAAGATAAAGACTTGCTTACTTACTGCGTCGAGAACAATGCATGTTTCAGTAGTCATATGTGCAGGATAGATATGACCTCTTTCCGAGGTTTTCCAAATGAAGCTAGCGATAAACATGTGTGTGCCCTCAACATTGACCTTTATGTGCATATATTTTTTTTTACAGGAACGATATAAAAGCGTTGATACAAAGATATACATTTGCAAAGTTGATTTTTCGTCTTGCGATTTTAGATAACATAGGAAATGGCTTTATTGCCCGTATAAGAAACATTAGGTGCACGAAAAGCTCAAAACATGTTTTCACTTTCTAACTGTATATGAATAATACCCAATCAAAAATAAATTTTATTTTTTCAGAGAAATTTACAAACCATTTTCTGCACCTTGGAATAAAACAAAACATTAAGTAACATGCAGGGATTCTTTCAATGGTGACTTGCTACCTCAAAAGTAAAGTAACTGACGCCCAGTACAATTAACAGTGTTCAGTTCAGAATTTTCTAAAGCGCTGGGGCCACCGACTAACTTATCCGGTATCAAGAGGAAGGTGGAGACTAGCAGAGGGGCCAGACGACAGATGTTCTTTCTAGCGCGAAGCCTAAACCAAGGTGAAGGTCACCATAGTAACGAGCGGAATCTATCCTCTAGCTACACGGGCGACAAAGCCGTCGATACCGTAAGGCCATTTGTTTCTTTTGGAACAAAGAATTCTTTTAGCAGTAGCAACTCCCCCCCCCCCCTCACACACGCACAAACAGGAATAATTTCGCGACAAAATCATCCACCCCTGCTTTAAGCTTTATGAAAGGAACATGATGGTCTACATTATCTGTACCTCAGTAGAAAACTTAAAACATAATTCAACGCTGAACCCAAACCAACATTCCTTCGGAAAGCAGGGTCTTAACTACGACACGGCGAAATAAATATGACACTAGTCAATAGACGTAGGAACGAAATGTCTTAAAGTTGATAATGTAGGCTTTTATTAAGTTCCACAGGATCGTTAGAAGCAACTGATGGTGGTAATACAAAACACAATGTCGTGAAAAGCAGTTAGAGAAAAAAACAAAACAGAAATAGTACAAACTATCATAAGTCTTCAAATCCGAGAAACTAGTTTCGAAACATTCGTGCGTCCTCTTCAGTCTCAAGCTGTCTTCTGGATTTTGATGTCTTGTACAGATACAAAGTTACACAGCATCAAACGAGTTTGTAGTAAATTTTCCGTCAACTTTTAGGTTGTGACTAACTAATAATTGATACTTAGACGTAACAAATCAAGCAGTACTGCAAGGTGTCAACACCACCAAGTTAGTGATAATATCACAGCTGTTCTAACATGAACTATTAACACGTAACAAATAAAGCAGTACTGCAAGGTGACAACACCACCAAGTCAGTGATAATATCACAGCTATTCTACCATGTAACAAATCAAGCAGTACTGCAAGGTGTCAACACCACCAAGTTAGTGATAATATCACAGCTGTTCTAACATGAACTATTAACACATAACAAATCAAGCAGTACTGCAAGGTGACAACACCGTCAAATCAGTGATAATATCACAGCTGTTCTAACATGAACTATTAACACATAACAAATCAAGCAGTACTGCAAGGTGACAACACCGTCAAATCAGTGATAATATCACAGCTATTCTAACACATAACAAATCAAGCAGTACTGCAAGGTGTCAACACTACCACGTCAGTAATAATATCACAGCTGTTCTAACATGAACTATTAACACGTAACAAATCAAGCAGTACTGCAAGGTGCCAACACCACCAAGTTAGTAATAATATCACAGCTGTTCTAACATGATGGAGCAATGCAGCATAAGAAATCGTTACGTTCAATTAATCATGTCTTGCATAAAACGACAGAGACTCTTAACGTCCCCTTATTGTGAAAACATTGGTGTACATTTTGTTTTATATTAGGAACTTATAAAGTTTCACACAACTTTTTTATGTGTTAAATAATAAAATCTCAGCTTGTTTTTTTTTTATTAAACGAAAAAAAACGCATCATTAACTAATTAGAATCCATTTGATTTTGTGTACAATGTTAAATAGGAACATCACAAACTATAAATACAGTAGCTGTATTTAAGTGATATACAAAATATTACTCAATACGGATAACAGATAAATATATTAAATATGTTCTAATTTTAGGTTACATTGTGAAATATTTTATGCACAGGTCGTTTCATAAAACCTCTCTTTTATTCATTCGGTTATTTGGGGTGGGGGGAGTATTAAAATATATTGTGCAAATAGATTTAACTAAGGGAGAAGGCTCCGTCGATTTCTTGCGTTTCTAACGAATTTCATATACAGCAAAGCAGTTCAAAGTTATGAATTAAACTGTTCATCTGATGTTGGGAATACGTACTATTTACTTACATGAATTGCTATTACACTAGCACAGATGCGCTGAAAACAATGGTAAACACACAGAACAAGTCCCTTCTACATGGGTGGAATGGGAGGGTTACTGTTTTCTAAGTTCTAACTTAGGAAATAGGAAACAAACATCTACATTAAGTTCAAAGTACAACCATAATTGAGTTCGACTTTGTTTTGTTTTGGATTCTTCTGAACACTTTTACATGGTACACTGGAAATATGACAGAAAATAAATTTAATGAAACTTGTTAAGATTGCATGTCTGCGTAGTCCTCATTACACCCGCACATCCGGGTAGTTCTTTCACTTGCTATCTCGAACATGCCAGTCACGATTTTACATCACACTATACAGAGAGCGATGCAATCATTCTTTAGCCTGAACGACAGGACTATACATTCAGGATGTGATGTCCATGTGTCCACGTGCTGGTTATCTCTATCTTTCGCTACGTATCTGGACAACCTGTTTGATTTTAATACGTCTTGCACGCCAAGTAAGGTGTTGGTTGGGTATTCTGTAGGAATACTTAAACAGTGAATTACCAATCTGTCATAGAAAACAGGATGATAAAAGAAAGCCCTGTCACCGTAAAAGCAAATATTTGGTTATCATAAATATGATAAACTAAAACCACAAACGAGTTTCTTGGTTATATTTTTAGCCGCGGCATGGCGGCTCATAGAACGGCTCCGAGTTTTTTTGTTTTGTTTTTTCAAGTACAAACATTTAGCTCATAGTTTCGCCATCTCTTGGCCGATTTGAGCTCTAGTTATAGTTTTGGACTCAAGAGGTCAAACCCTTTCGATTGATGTATTTGACCATGCCCAAGGTCTCATAGTTTCATTTACTCTAATCCTGCCTAAAATAACTTCAATTTGAGGGGTAGGCTCGTAGAGATCCTGATAAGTAATAAAATCGAATCGGGCATACGCGCGCCCCACGCTTAGTGTTGTTGGCGCACAAAAATATAGCTAATGAAAACGACAAAATGTCTCAGAGATTAATTTACTCTAATCCTGCTTAAAAGAATTTCAAGTGCCGTAGCTACTAAGGATTCCCTCTTTTTCTAAAATATCATATATGACACCCACATACATAAAAATAATATAAAAAATCGGTGTTAACTTTCCAAGCTGATTTTCATGAGTATTCAAGAGGATAATTTTATTATGTTTCTATAAATTCAAGCAGTATTGTACAGACACACACAAAGACATTTGAACTACATTATCAGTCTTTGGGAAACCCATAAGCTAAAAGTTTTCGTCCAGGTCTATATACTACGTTAACAGAATTTGATCAGATCTAAAAACGCCATCAGTCCTTGCAAACCTGTAAAACTACAATAATAATCCTCGGTCAGACCTATAAATCACGTTAACAGTATTTGATCATATCTACAAACCACGCCACCAGCCCTAGCAAACCTGTAGAACTACATTAACAGCCCTCGATCAGACTATAAACCACGCCAGTCCTCGCCAAACCTATTCAACTATGATAACGGCCATCGATCCAACATATAAACTAATTTAATCAGAGGCGTCGCTAGACGCTGGCACACGGAGTCCGTGCCCCGATTCGATTTGTCAGTGCCCCGAATCCTCAGTTGGTGTCTTGAAAAATAAAAATAAAAAAACCATGATCGATATTATACTGAAACGCCGAAGATTCCCGCGCCTATGAGCCCAAGCTCCAAATATTTTAAGTACCTAGCAATGTCTCTGAATTTAATAGTTATTAATCATAAATTACGTTAATAATCCTTGCCCAGATTTATAACAGATGAAATCCTAAGCCAGGTCTATCAGTCACGTTAACAATGATCAGACAATTCTATAAACAGCTGTCAGTCCTTGGCCAAATCAAGCTAACAGTACTCGAGTAAACATAACCAGGTTAAAAGTGGCACCATGTTATGAACGACAATGAATGAATCTGTTTAACAGGTTTAGATTTTGTTGTGTGGTGAGAAAAAATTATGCTGGGGTCAAATGCCATTAGCACGATCACCTGGAATGGCTTTTTCATGATACTAACGGAATCAAAAAGCTTCAGTGATACTATTGTGTGCTAAAAAACAAAACAAAGTCAAACAACAAGCCATTTATGAAATGTGATAAGAGGCAAGCAATCACAGAATGTTGACAGATTTCAAACTTACCTGTGACCAAATGGTCAATGTTACACCACATCATGCTATGTTACTACACATTGAGTATACTGTGCCACGATATACCATATCGTGTTACACTATACCATGTTACACGTATTACACATCGTTACACTGTGTACAGGATGAACATATTTATTATTACGATGTACAGAAAAATGATAGAACTGCGTTTAGTCGAATGAACACAGTTATTCCCTCAATTAATGCGTCTCGAGAAAAGCGTAAGATATCTCTAAGTTTACAGATTTGCTAAGCCAGTTTCGTATGAAAACACTAGGCTTAACTGCAGATTGGCGTCTATACACAAGCATCTAAGCATGTAACTAAAATCAAACTTTCCGGTCAAAACTACTACTCTATGCCTCAACTAGCTTGAATATTCAACTAGAACATAGTAACTGAAATAAGATAATAGAGCGATTTAAGGTTAAAGGAGCAAAAATCTCCTCCCATGCAAAGAAATACCAGTTTCTAACTTATCACAATAGTGGTATCAGGCAAACCTAGTTACTGCTGGTAGCGTTCTATTTAAAGTTACAATCGTACCCTTAAGAACACAAAATCTAAACGGATATCCTACGACACTGTTAAAAATGAGAACGATATAGAAACTTTTTCTCTTTATGCGAATGATCTAATTTTTTTTTAAGTTTTAGCCTATTTTTCACAGTAGCGAAAACGCTGATCAACATTAATTATACAGCTCCAACACGATAGTCGTTACGTACTTTACACATCAATCTAAATCTAAACGTACGTATGATTCGTAAAAAAGTGGTTTTCCTTCTATTATTTTTTAAGAAAACATTCTACACTTTTAAAATAATTTTAATCGGAACACAAGTTGTAATAAAACACCTTTACATACTATGTCCAGAAGCATAAACAGGGTTACGTCATACTTCTTAAAGACTTCTCGTGATTATCCGCCAAAAATAACTCATTATTACTTTGTATTGTTGTTGCTTTCAGCGAAAAACCACACAATGTGCCATATGCGCTATGTTAACCGCGAGTAATCAAGCCCTTTATTTTAGCGTTGTAAGTTCTTAAACCTACCGCTGACATCGGAAACAAGTATCACGTTATAACTCTGGAATTAAAGATAAAAAACAGTTATAACACACAACTATCCAAGTTCTAATAAGTTTAATGGCTGATCATAGCTCCAAAATTATAAATATTAATTAATTAATCAGTTTTCATATCTCCATGCACAATAATAACCTTGGAAATTATTAGCATCATAATCTGAAGAGAACAGATTTATTCAGGAAGAGTGAAATAAATATCATCTTTTGTTCTGAAAAACCCTACATTTCTTCCATTTTATGCAGTTTCACCTGTTTTTCTTTTTTCTTTTTACTCCTGATTCGATGTTTGCACCCATGACGCCCACCAATTTCGCGTTTCTCGGATATTTAAGCATGTTTCTTTTAAGGGGTGTAGAAAATCGTTAGAGCTTTCGTTTCGGAATAACGATATATCACTCAACCTATGTTTATGCAGATTAAACCTAATTTCTTTAATGGGTAACTAAAAAGTTGATTGATATATTACGACTCATATATAAATAATTACGATTTTGTTGTTTGTTGAAATTTGCGAAAAGCTGCTGGAGAGCTATCGGAGTTAGCCGTCCCTAATTTTGAAGTGAAAGATTAGAAGGAAGGCAGCTAGTTAACATCACCCACCGCTAACTCGTGGGCTATTTTACTCGAAGAGTGGGATTTGAAAGTCGCTCTTATCATTCATCCACAGCTCTAAAGTTCAGAGTACTATTTTTTAGGTTACGGGACGTGAACCACGGATCTACAAACTGCCATGGTCGACCCTAATTATAATCTTGAAGCAACAAGTTTTAAAACATGTTAACCATTATACCCAGAAGGAAAAAAAATAACTGCTCATCGTCTATTTTGACTTAAAAGACAATAAAATCTGTAAATTTAATAACACAAAGCGTAAAGCATAACTGTTTACAATTTTTATAATATACGTAGTGTTAATGCTTGACGTTATAGGGTTAAACAATCAATTTCCTTCTATTGTAACCTGTTCACGTCTTATTTACAGATTTTCATGCGTGTTATCTGTGAGATAAAACAACCTCTTTAAATTGTTTTATTAACCTTTTTGGTTTAGTGGTGATTTGGATGTTTGATAAAAAAAAATCAAATTCTAGCTAACTAGTCTTCTAACTGTTATCAAGAAAATTGATTATTTTTGGATATTCATGCATGGGTGCTCAAGAGTTATATGCGCTGGCCACATCCACTTTTTAACTGATAGATTAGAGGAAAGGAAGCTTCTTTTGTCTGATGCAATAGTGAGCTTTGACTGTCACCCTTATAAGGCACCCATGGCCCCGAACGATTGCTTCCTTGGGAGTAACAGGATGCGAACGAAGGACCCGTAGATCCAACGCTAGCCACTGGCACAAGGAAGTTGAAATTAGACACAAACAGAAGTTTCTTTAAAATCTGTTTATATATATATGTATAATACGCGCTACTCCAGCTTCAGTTTTTCAGTTTTTATCAACTTGGAGCTTGGTAAGTGACGTCATTTAAACATTCAAGAAAGGATTGGCAAGTTGCGCTGTCTCTCATTTGGTGGGGAAGCTTGTTATCCTACAACATTTATTTTTCAAAATGCTGGTGGTGTTCTTGTATTTATTCGTTTCTGGAAGGCGTTTAACTCAATACATCGTTCCAGTTGTTAATTATGTAAGAATGTATTAAATGTCACCATTACCACTTCGGTTATAGAAATTCCGAGATGATTATTAAATAAATAACTAGAACAACAAGTACACTCGAAAACACTCCCCAGTGGCACAGCGGTATGTCTGCGGACTTACAACGCTAGAAATCGGGTTTCGTTACCCGTGGTGGGCAGAGCCCAGATAGCCCATTGTGAGCTTTGTGCTTAGCTACAAACACGTGAAAACGTACTATCGTACAACCTTAATTTTAATTTGATATTACGTTTTAATCTCCACACTTGTATGTATCTATGCATGTTAAAAGTTAACAGTAGTTTTTAGTCTCGTGAAATATTATTTCATTTGAGAAAAAAGTAATAAAAATGCAAAGATAAGCAATGAACTACAAGAAAATAAATGTAATAACACGGAAGAAAAGTTCATATCATTATATTTATCAAGTTCATTATATGGTTGAAATTGTTATAGCTAATTAAACATGGAATAACCACAAAGAGAAATGGATCCTGTTGAATATCTAAACACATTTTTTTTCTAAACTATTTTTCCATTAAATCCGTTTGTGGGTACATGAATGTTCATTACAGGATCTACAACGACATTTGAGTCACATAAAAAAATTAAACGAAAACGCCGTCAATATTGCAATTAATCTCACTAATTAACACTGGTATTTCCTATGTATTTTACATAAAGACTTTCTGAGTTAAACCAGTTTTCCTACTTAGGTCTTTTAGAGTTAGTGTTGTAAAAAACAAAACATAAAACTATCCAGTGTGATGCAACATGTGGATCCCACCAGTGACGAACGTATGTAAAGCAGTCGATAACTTGAGAGCTAAAGGAAAAATACTTTTTAAATCTGTCCATAATATGACGATTAATGTTGAAAAAAGATTATAGAAGTGGCCTTGTCACGCTAAGTTTAAGGTGATACATTACAAATTTCTTTATTATTAATATATATATTAGTTTTTAGTAAAACATAATAACTGTACCTATTGTAGTCACTACAAGTCTTACTCACATTCTCATGTTTGAAGAAACAAAGCATCTTGATTTCTCTATGAACTCGTTTGCTGGACACTAGATTTTGGAAAACATTCGGCATCTTCTTGAGGGCTACACGCTTTCCATCACGAGGGTCAGTCACAGACCTAACAGAAACTTACACTGGTCAGACAGAATACGTTTTGCAAGACACAACAATCATAATCTGAGAGTCTTTTGTAAGTAAAATATTTGCTGCACACACAGATCCAAGTTAAAACAAGAGTAGGAAGAATAGTTTGAAGTTAAAACAAGAGTAGGAAGAATAGTTTGAAGTTAAAACAAGAGTAGGAAAAATAGTTTCAAACAAAACAACAGTAGGAAAAATAGTTTCAAGTTAAAACAACAGTAGGAAGAATAGTTTCAAGTTAAAACAACAGTAGGAAGAATAGTTTCAAATTAAAACAAGAGTAGGAAGAATAGTTTCAAGTTAAAGCAACAGTAGGAAGAATAGTTTCAAGTTAAAACAACAGTAGGAAGAATAGTTTCAAATTAAAACAAGAGTAGGAAGAATAGTTTCAAATTAAAACAAGA